CAGTGTGTGGGGCCAATGAACCAATTACTGACAGCCTATAAGAGAACGAGTCAGAGGAAACACAGAAAAGATTGAGGAAAAATCAAAAGACTTTTCAGAAATACACAAATTTCAAGTTTCGCTAGCAAGAAAATAGCAGCTATTGACTATTGCACACGCAAAAGCATTGAAAGGTATTATTTTAATAAGCCCACGCACTGAAGTACAAATTCATATTTCAGCGTGTAGAGTGACAACATTTGATCAACTGATTTTCCAACATTTGGACAACTGATTTTCCCAATGCACTGTTAATAATATATAAATTAAGATCCATTTTAGCTTTTTTAATTATGTTTTAGAGTAATAGAGAGTAGAGTTGATTTAATAGGCAGTTTGAAGACGTCAGCATATATTTGAACCAACACGTTGTTGGAGAAGTTAGAGGTTTAGCAGCTTTAAACTGACGTAGTTAAAATGCAAGCATTTATGAACTCACAATTGAGAGCTAAACCATCTGACAATCAATTTCAATAGCTAGGACTTCACATATTTACAAAACTAGAAAAAATCCACTGGTCATTATATTATTTTCACAGTTATTGAACATTAAAGGACTTTGTTCTTCTGAAACAAAACACACAGGTTTGCTGAACCCTAAACGTCTTTCCTAAAATGATCTTTAACCCAAATGCAGGTGTGCGACCTGAGAAACACCTGCATCTGTCCGCAGAGCACCACAGCTGGAACTGCATCAAATCAAACACATAATATAAAAACACTTGCGATAAATATCAGGTAAGACAGAAATTAATCACATTCAACTAAACACACTGCCAATGCTGATTAACGAAGATAATACCTATAAAATCACTTAACCAATACCCAAAGCAAGCATTTATGAACTCACAATTGAGAGCTAAACCATCTGACAATCAATTTCAATAGCTAGGACTTCACATATTTACAAAACTAGAAAAAATCCACTGGTCATTATATTATTTTCACAGTTATTGAACATTAAAGGACTTTGTTCTTCTGAAACAAAACACACAGGTTTGCTGAACCCTAAACGTCTTTCCTAAAATGATCTTTAACCCAAATGCAGGTGTGTGACCTGAGAAACACCTGCATCTGTCCGCAGAGCACCACAGCTGGCACTGCATCAAATCAAACACATAATATAAAAACACTTGCGATAAATATCAGGTAAGACGGAAATTAATCACATTCAACTAAACACACTGCCAATGCTGATTAATGTAGATGATACCTATAAAATCACTTAACCAATACCCAAATAAATACTGAAAAAGTATATGGTGCCATATAATCAGCATCATTGCGCTGTGGAAAACAAAATACATTTCATCTCGTAGTGTTGCTTTTTATCATGTCACATTATGCCCCCAAAATGTGTGCCAGAAGGCTCTCCCAGATATCTTCCATATAAATGCATGATCATGCAACATGTCTTAAGTTTAAATGCTTAAATATTTGCAGCCGTAAAAAGTAAAAGTAAAGCAGAAAAAAGTTACAACCACTTTGAATTTAATTACTGATGAAGAAAACTGAAAATGCATAAAAGTATTAATAAAAAAAGTATTACATTAAAATAAAGATGTTAAAATATACATAAAACTATAAAATATATTATTTAAAAAATATTTTCCAAAAAAAAATAAAAAAAATCTGTATGGTACTGTATAGACACAGTTGTATCTACTCAATCACATATCACTTTGGCTGAATTACTAGTTAGGTCAAACAAAAACAAAACAAAAACAAAAGCACTTAAACTAAACTCTGATTAATCATGCATTTTGGAAAACACTTTTTTCTCACAGTGTAAAACCGCTTTACACTGAAATCATATATTGATAGAGCAGATCACGATAAGTTTATTCCAAGGCCTCTAGGCTGGACATACACATTTCGTTCATAATAATTCATGAATAAAGATTTGTTCATTTATATGCACTGAAAATTCCACCATAGCATCATGACAGTAACTCCGTACAACCCCGAAGAACAAAACTACAGGCCTGTTTTTGCACCACAAAGTCAAATTGTTGGTTTTTATTCAGAATATCAACATTTCTCAACTCAAAATCAATGTGCTTATTTTCCATTCCATATTCGAGATAAACTGCACTAATGAAGTTTTTGAGTGTGTGGGACTCTGGAGCCTGA